CCCAACATATCTCTACCCCAACATCATCATCAAGGATGGCATCCATTATGCTTCTATATCTAGCTGGGAGAGATGCAGGATTGTAATGATATATTCAATCATAATACGATATATTACTATCATTAGTATTATGATTATCAGGGATAGAGCTACTCTATATGCAGCATGTATGATGTATTCAACTGTGACCACGACCACCATGACGACTATGAGGAGGATTATGCATGATGAAGATGATAAGCCTATAACATCAACAACAACAACAACATACAATGAGGAGTTAACATCAACAATAGCTGCAACCTTATGGATAGCTGTTAAGGCATCACTCAGCACTAATAGTGTTGTTAATAATAATAATAATAATAATACAGGTATTAACAATAAGAGCAACAACAAGAAGAATAGTATTCTCAATAACATACTGCTTGTTATAGATATACAACCTCCTGCTGCTGCTGCTGCCGAAGTAACGCTACGACATTGTATCAATTCGGCTCTTCGAGTTGTATCTACGGTCCATCTACATGAGGAGGAGAGCAGCAGCATCATCATGATAGGCATAGGCCTAGGACAATAAGTACTACTACTAGTAGTATGGAGGAGTATTGGCAGTATCGGGAACATATAATACATAATACTGGTAGTAGTAGTAGTAGTAGTAGTTGTATAGGGTTGTTACTACTCCTTCTTCTTTTGTAGAAACTACGGTATTACATCTAATTGGTTATAATACATCATCATACATTAATAATGCTGTAACACTATTACGTATGGTAGCCAACTATTCTACTATATTATCATCATCATCATCATATTATTCAATTATTAGTACCGCTATATTACTCTGTGATGAGGTAATTGTCAATGGTATACTATATGATAATATATACATGATGAATAATAATAAGAAGAATGATAATGATGATGATACAATATTAGTAGTTACTGATGAGGAATGTACTAATGTGATAGCATTGGCAGTAGTGTATCTAGCAGTAGTAGCTAACAGTAATAAGGTATATGATGATGATTATAATAATGAGAAGCAAGCAATAATGGCTACCATACCATTACCTATTGTACAAGCTCTCGAGAACAACAACAACAACAACCATCATGATGATGATGATGATGGTTATACAGATGATGATGACGACGACGAACATCATGTGAAGGTCGGGAATAATAATAATAAGATGGTAGTATTATTTAACACTGTGGTGAGTAGTATAATGGACGCTGCACCTCACTTTAAAGATCGGCTAACGAAGGCTTTATTAACCTTATACAATAATAATAATGATGCTAGTGATGATGATAATAATGAGGATAGTAGTTACCATTATGTGCCACCTTTATGTAGTGTTAGTGTATTAATCATATTATAATATTCATATTCCTTCTTCTTCTTCTTCTTCTTCTTCTTCTTCTTGTTGTTGTTGTTGTTGTTGTTGAACTACTTATGCGGCGGATTGGTTAGTCTCGTCGTCGTCGTCGTCGTCGTCGTCATGATTGTTGTCAGAAGATCGTTGTTCAACAACGGTCTAAGGGGATGAAATCAAATCAATCGATATGTTCTATAGCTGCCGCCGCTCCCTACTTACTAACGAGTTGAGTACTGAGGTGAGTTATTGTACGTAAAATATGGTCGTGACCAATGGTCATGTATTATGATGATGAATTGATGTTGATGATGAATAACCACAAGAAGCGAGAGAAGAAATTAGTTAATTTTTAGTAGTATCACCAAATATTATTGAACTGTGTTGTCTAATAAAGATAGACAGGCATCATAGACGACGACGATGAGCATCATCATCATACAAGAGAGCCCACCGCCATCGGGTAGTAGTAGTAGCATGGACTCACTACACCTAGCTCTTGGCATCTATCCTTCAATCTTCAATAATGTCTCGTCTTTTGGATGTCGGCTCCGACCATCTGTGAACAGCAGCAGCAGCAGCAGCAGCTGTACATCCCTCCTCGGTCGTGATCAAGCCGGCGCCGCCGCCGGCGGTCATCATCATCATACCCTCATCGATCTGCTACTCTGCTGCTACGATAGGCTCTCCAAGAATATCTCGCAATAACCTCTTCAGTCCCGATCTCGATCGAGTAGCTGCTGCTCTTGACAATGAGTGAAGAAGAAGCCGCCATAGACGACAGTTGTTTATATCATCATCATTACGTAGGACGGATAATAATAACATTTCATGTCAGCTCAAATCGTCGGGATAGTTGTTGTTGTTGTAGTAGTACCACTTGATCATCATCATCATCAACCAGAACTGTTGTCACTGACATCATATGAATAGATATACAGATGCTGCTAGCAAGATGATAGCATCATCACAACATGGTAGAATCTCCGACACCAGTCGTGGGAAGTCCGACGCCGCCGCCGCTGTACGGTACGTCACTCGGGTGGTAGTGGTAGTGCAGCATATCACGCTTGAAATACTCGAGAATAACGAGTATCGAGTAGCAGCGTTCTTCGATCATCTCTAATCTCTGATCTTCGTTGACTACGAAGGTAGCCGCCGAACTCCTTATCACGGGGCAACATTGTACTAGGGTGCAATGACAAAATGGTGAGAACCGAATATGACAGAAAAGAAGAGAATGACCAAATAAGAGTAACTCGGTGGTCTCTCATCCTCCTTATGTGAGGATCTAGTTGTTACATCAATCAATTGTCCGTTACATGGCCTTCAAACAGCAGAAGAACATGCTGCCCTCTTCGAACTCTTCGATGCTGCTCTTAGCTATAATGAAAGGTGAAACGCCTATCTAATTAATAGATGGTAGGATATGTGATGGAGATTGAGCCATTATGGTTCGTGGGTCAACAGAGTCATCATGACCTTTATGGTTGTTCCTCCTCCAACCTGTACTCAATGGATAACGTGTGTAAAAGTATCCAGCTCTGTATAGTAATATGAAACTACCGATTACTACATCATCCGCATTGTTACGATAGTAAAAGGCATGGTCGTCGTCGTTATTAATCGTAGTGACTAACCACTACTACCCTGAATATAAGGGTTCCTCTAATAATAATTAAAGACGACAAGCTATCTTCTCAGATGAACTATATTAATTATACTCGATATGGTTCATGGTGAACCATTAACTATTAACTGACTCTCTCAACACAACAACTCTATTAAAGTTTCTCTGCTGTCTACTACGGTCGAGGAACTAACAGTGATAGTTATCATTAAAGGCTACTGATTATGATGATGATATTACTACTATCATCATCACGATAACTGTAGTATATGAGGGGTATATTATCAATATATTTTGTTATCGATAGTACTGGTATTTAGCAAAAATGCTATAAGTGTATTAATCAACATCCATATGATGATGATGATCATCATCCTTAGCAACTTCCTCCTCCTCCTCTTCTCCATCCTGATCATCAGAGCTATCATCAGGTTCCTCTACAATGGGTTCAGGAGAGCCTCTCTCCTCTTCTTTACTATTAGACTCGGCCGACTCGTCTTGAGCCTTCTTAGATGATGGTGGTGATGATGGAGGCTTCTCAGACAGTATACCATCAGCCAACTTGATAAGGGCATCAGTCTTATCATTGAGCTGTGATACAGTATATACTGGTTGTAGATAAAGAGGTTGTCTAACTTGTAATGCCTTCTGTTGAGATAACCATGATTCCAGTTTATGGCATTCTTCTAATATATACTCTTTCCTTTCAATAGCAATATGTGCATAGGCAATATCAGGAGACTGAGCTAAGGACCTATACTTCTGTATAACATCCTGTGCTCTAGCCTCTGCCTCAGGTCTTAGACTAGCTTCCATAGCACGACTCTCAGCTCCATCTCCTAATGCACGTATCTCTATCAGCTTGTCCATGTACTCAGCCTTAGTAGCCTGAATGAGATAATGTCAAATGATTATTATCATATTAGATAATAATGATACCTCATAATGATCATATACCCAATCCTCAGTCTGCATTAATATATTAGATAATTCTTCTCTCTGGGCTGCACTAAGGAAATCATACCATCTAGATGATGGTGAACTTATCTTATCCCTAATAGTAGAATATTAATCGTAATAGTAAATCAACTACTACTACTACTACCTGCTCTCGAAGATATAGCTCTCTAACTCATTACGTTTCTCATCAGTCTCCGCCACTTCCCTATCAATATTTCTCATCTTTAACTCATCATCTTCAGCAGCTCTTAGCCTATCTTCCGACATACCAGGTAGACCAGAACCTATATAACAAGAATGAGAGGATAATAATAGTAATGATGATATCGTACGAATAATGGGTATATCGGTCTTCTTAGTCCGAGTTTTAATCTTGGTCACTTCAACTAGCTCCTCCTCCTCGTCCTCCTCGAACTCATCTCCCTTTCCTTCCTTCTCACTACTAATACCAGAAGCAGCAGGAGCAGCAGGAGCCTAAGGATGATGATGATGATGTATTATTGAATCCACGTGATGTTGTACCTCAGCAGGCTGCATATTCACATCATCATTGGTAATAGTAGTAGTAGCTGCTGCTGCTGAAGGAGAGGCATCTACCATATTCTCATCATCATTAGTTTCCTTATTAATAGGTCGTCGTCGTCTACGCTCCTTCTCTACAACTTGATACTCTTCCTCTTCTATCATAATAGCATTCTCAATACTGAATGTACCATGTAGACTGAGCTTAGCTCGGACTTTAATCTTCTTAGGTCCTTCATCATTCTCACTATTATGAGGTACTTGTATAGTATATCTCCCAAGAGATGCATCATCGCCATGGTCCTCACTGTTGGTATATTGTGCCCATAGCTCAAAGGCTTCCTTACGATAGAAGGTAAGCATCTTAACCGTATTAAGTGTAGATCTTGGTGGGAAGACCTCAGTCCTCTTGATGATAGAAGAACATCCTTCAACATCATCATTATCAGTAGTAGATGTTGCCTGCTGTTGCTGCTGCCAGGCTACCTCAATGCCTTGTTGAGTAAAATCAGTAACGGCAAAGTCCCTAAAAACGACGAGGTAGCCTGATCATAATGATGATGTTACATGATGTATATTACCTAACCTTGAATAGGGGTGATAACATAGCGGCTTGTAATGCACATCCTCGTGCTACACACTCATCAGCATTAAGAGTACGAGATAAGTCCTTATGTAGAGTATCAACAATAGTACGTTGTATGAATGGTACTCTAGATACACCACCAATGATCTCTACTGAATGTAAATCATCAATAGTAATGTTAGCTTCCTTCAATGCCT